AGAGGCATTTTCCAAGCATGATTTTCCAAAAGAATGCAAAGCTTGCTTTTCTGTTTCCCTCCTGTAGAAATTGGCAGGGAATAGGGATTTTCTCCTACTTCCCATCTTCTTAACAGTAGGAAGGCAGAAGACATCAATACAGTGGCTTTGTTGCAGAATTCACAGACTTTGTGACACTAAGAGAAGGTGGACTGCCCTACGTCTTCTCTCCCCCACAGTTATTTCACACATTTCCTCCCCTCACTTCCTATGAGCTAGACAACTCATATTTGACTATGTATCTGTAACATCTACTTCGAAGTACTACATCTACTTTAAAGTACTTTTCTTTAAGCTAATTTACTTAAAAATTGCCAGTCAACCTGTACCAGTATGCTCATTTGCAATACAGCACTAATTCCCACACTTTTATAGAGCCTAGAAAATATATTTTAAACTACCTTCTTGGAGGACAGGAATTAAAACTCAATGAAAATAAAGAAAAAAAAATTATGTCACCTCCCATTTCCATAAGAACATTAATTTTCAAAGTAAGTTAAACAGCATAACACCATCATTGACAGAAAAAGCCCATGTCTTGTAGACACAGTCCTGTTAAAACACAATAAAATCAATAATCCAATTAGTAAAGAGATGTGTTTTAATCCAACACTACTAAGTACCCATGTAACTCATCATCTCCCCCTTCATACACAATTCCCCAATCAAAAGGGGCAACAAAAAACATTGACTTCTCACCTAACCATAGGGGAAAGAAAAAGTGATTTGATTTTCTATAGGGGACAAAAGTCATCTGTATACCTACCATAGAAACAGCAGGCTACTGAAGTAAGAGTTGGCTTCTGTTGTCCAGAGAACACAAGTGTTCTTTAGAATATTTTTATTTAGGCAACAATAATGACTCAACGTCATATACACATACAGTTTTGTACTGTTGTAAACAAGCAGAACAAGGAGAGGCCACCTGGTGGTGATCTGTGATAAACAGGCTTGGTAGCGTAGAAGCAAGAGATAAAATTGTTAATGCAGGACCTGATTTGGCAAATCTCTTTCTTACACACTTAATTTTTATGCACTTTAGTAAGGCTTAGCAAGTCTGTATTTATGAAATTTTATGAATTAGCATTACTGTGATTATTAGCAATAAACCAGTAGAAAGTAGAATAAGACACCTCTACGTGATATGTTCAGAAATATGTTTCATTAAACACCTGAGCTTTAGCAACAGCTAGAATGGATATCAACATTTATGTAGGTTCATGAACCTTGAAAAGGTTTGGCAAATTGGAAACCAGATTTCAGTACAAGTCAAACCAAAATAACACATGGCTGCAGTTTACAAATATCACATATTTTACTAAATGATTTTTTGCAAAACATAACATTAATTTCACATCTTGAAATAACCATTCAGTCACTTTAAAACTGTTTCTAATTCTACATAACCAGACATCTCAGAACAAGAAAGACTTAGGGTACAGTTTTAGAAGTACCACTTCTGTTTACACACACATCTACTATGTCTTGTCCTATGGTTAGAATAGCTGTAAGCAAAGCTACTGAAGTCTGGTTTATAAGCAGCTTTTGTAAAATAGTCATTTGAAAGAATCCCTAAATTTGTATCATTGACAAATGTAAAGCAAAGTGGCACAACATTTGATTTGCAACAATGTATTTATCCCTAACTGTTCACATCTCTTATTTTTAATTGCTCAGTTTTCTATAAAGCATATTTAACTAAGAATAACCTCCTAGTTGCATGCAAACCTATGTAAAATGTTCAGGGCTCAGCAGCTTAGGCAGTCTCATAAAATAAGTTAGAGTAAATAAAAATTAGGTCCAGTACATCCTGCTCAATATTTTTAGGAACCTACACAAAGGGGGAAAAAAAAAAAAAAAAAAACGTCCAAAACAAACCCACTGTGAGAAATCACTTCAGAAGTGCAATTTCTGCAATCACCAATTTAAGTAAAATTTTTTTCTTGCATGCTACAGAATATAATTTTGTTTAAGTAAGTATACAATCTATTTGTCAACATCTGAGTTGTAAAGGCCTGTATTATTAGACACTGTAGCTAAAAAGCAGTTTCAGGACAGTGTGAATTTGCAAATTCAGTAAATTAATTCCTGAGAATATATCTCCTGTCCTGTTGTTAAAGTGTTTCCTTCCATTTCCACTGTGTCATTCATTTGGATAAGCTATTAAACTCAGATTGATATCAATATATCAATCATATTTCATATATATTGCACCACAGGCTATAGCTCTGTTCCCTCATAACAGTTAAGAAGAAAGCTTCTGCAATGCATACATTATTTACCTCAATATTACTCTGTGGCTGTTAGCACCTTGATCTGGATTTAATTGATTTAAATGATGTGGAAGTAAAGAAAAGGAACCTACTCATCTTAAAGTTCAGGATACTGACCAACTGAAGTCCAGGTATGTGATACAAAAAAAGGAAAAGCTCAAACAATTTCAACTTGCCTTTTTCTGTTGGAGGATGTATAAATACCTCAGTGGCATAACAGCCTTATTGTACAACCTGATTTGTTCATCAATCGGCATCTTCTTAGCAGGTTACGAAGCATGAGTTTGCTGACTGTCCTCTCAGTATTTTTGACACAATGCTCAAGATTCTGAATGCAAATACACAGTATTTCAGACTTATCTGCACTATATTTAAAACCAATGTCAGCCCATATGCAGAAACTGTTAAATTCTTTTAACTGCACACAAACAGGCTCCAGTTCTCTGTCATAAAAATTAGTTAACAGTAGCTCCCTGTTGTGCATGTGCAAATACACACAATACAGAAAAGACTAATATCAGCAGCAAAGGTAACATTGACTACCCCTATGGGATCATCCACCTATTGTTGCCTAATTCAACAAAGTTCATCCCTACCCATCTTTTTTTGTTGTTGTTGTAAAACATTATAATGCTATAACACACAATTCCTCCGAAGTGGTAATTCCTCCGAAGTGGACCACCATGCAAAACAGTTTCTCAAGCTACATCCAAAGCAATAATGAGCCACTGCGATAACAAAAGCCAATGAAAATCGGTGACCATCTTCATTTCTGCTATCTTGAAAATGCTAAACCAAAAAAAAAGAGCATTTTTCCTTGTACACATTTTATTTGGGGATTTATCAGAGCCTGATTCAGTCTACATATTTATCACTGTTCCCGCATGCTCTCACAGTCATCAGAAACCTTTTTGAAAAGTAGCAAACAAATGCCTTGCTGCTTGATTGCAGGCTCAAATAAAAATACTACTTCAGACCCTTTCACCTTCCTGAGAACATCCAGGGAGCGCTATAATGTGCTATCAAACACAAAAAGATGGACTCCACTGATTTTTCAATACTTGCCAAATAAAGTATTACACAAGAAATATTTCACAAGTTTTACTAGTGGAATCCAATGTGAAGTTGCAATCAAGCTGACATTAGCTAAAGATTAAATGGACCAAATACCAACTACTGCTTGTTTGGACCACATCCTCCAGTCACTTCTAGTCCCACTTAGTGGCTGATTCCAGTATTTTTGACTTAGGATACATGATTTATCTTTGACAACAGATGGAAGTGGGAAAAAAAAAAATATATTAATTTCTCTGCTTAGAAGGGATTTATAGTGGCAAGCTATTCACTCAAGCTGCCAGAAAATAATGTCATTGAACACATTTCAGAAGGTTGTCTCTCTGTAAAGCAGCGGAGACAAAAGCACAGCTTCATTGTAGAACTGCAAAACATGCTTAACCATTTGCCTTAGTTAAACTGAGTACAAAACTGCAGCTCTCTATTGCTGTGTCAAAACTATAGTTACTTTGTATTACAGGGTAGCAAAAAGAAGTAGAATTTACAAAATACAGTAATAAAAAATAATTACCTACTTCAGGTGCTTTTTAAGAAACAACTACAAATTCATTAGACTTCTGATACTTAGTATCAGCCAGAATCATGACACTTTTAAGTATAATCTAACTTTATTTATGAGATGGCTTCGTGTTTAGGTTTTTGTTAAACAAGAAAGTGAATATAATACTGGAGATAGCCAGCAGAAATGGTACCAAATCATCCTTCAATATATATTTAATTAAATAAATCTTTATCAAAGTAGGTAAATAAATTTATGCAAATCTATTTTAATAGTGCTTCTATGAAACTGCTTTACAAAATAATTCTCATTACACTTGCTGCAAGAATGGTTTAGAAAACAGCAGTTATTTTTCCCGTGTTTTTAGCACTTTCTTTTAAAATATATGATGGTATTTAGAACTACAGAAATGGGGACAGGCAAGAAATGAAATGACTGAATCACGGTGGTATGTGCCAAAGCATTAAACACTTCCTAGCCATAAGCATGCCAAATTTGGGAATGCCGTAATTTCCTGGAAATGTCACCATGCCAAATTGGCAGGCAGCATAAGGTCAAGTTTGGAAATGATGGAGCTGACCATTACGAAGGCAGTGACTTAAAATCTGAACTACCCATTTTTTATAAGGACGGTCAGTATCTGATATATTCAGCCTACATACAGCCTTGAAACAATGGGCATTCGAGGAAATCTAATCAATTATAAATGGTTTAAATTTCTCCTGAAATAGAAAAATATGAACATGTATTTTAAGTTCTCTGTGATTACAAGAGTATTAATTTTGTAAGTTGAAGTGCTACTCAACTAACTCAAATGAAGATTTAGGTGGTTGCTAAAATTTCTAATATTCTCAATAGGAGTCTATCCATGCTTATTGTGCTGATGGTCCCAAACGTATTCTTGGTCTCTGTTAGTAGAGAGAAAATGGTTACACTGTGAGGTATTTTCCAAAAAGGCTTTTCTACTAGCACCTATATATAATTACACTAATTGATGAATGAAAACTCTTTATTTCCTTCTGGTTCTTGTGTAACTTGTCAGAGAGATCTTAGCAGGAGATCTTCCTACAAGAATAAGATTTTAACAAATGATGCTATAACCATATAAATCTTACCTCTTCCCACTGATGTATATATCTAATCAGTCTTGAAAGGCGTAATAAACGTAACAGGCTGAGGATTTTTGTAAATCTCACAATACGAAGTGCTCTTGCTGTCTTGTAAACCTCTGAATCCATTCCTTTTTCTACAATGAGAAAGATATAATCCACTGGTATTGATGAGATGAAGTCAACCACAAACCAGCTTTTTAAGTAATTCATTTTAATGATTTTAGGGTCCAGTATTATTTCAGAACTGTCTTCATTTACAGTCCCAGTTCTAAAATTCATGATCAAGTCCAATAGAAAAACAGTGTCTGATGCCACATTGAAAATAATCCATGGTGTTGTTGTTTGCTCTGTGAAGAATGTGATTCCAACTGGTATAATGACAAGGTTTCCAACCATCATTATGAGCATGATTAAGTCCCAGTAAAACCTAAAAAAAAGGGAGAAACAGAATGGTTGATGTAATGTGGTAAAACATGATTAGAAAAATGGCTTCTATCATGCTGCCAACTTCATCTCAAGATGCTTAAACATTTTGTTAATGCTAAGAAAACTCTCATTGTTATAATTCATTCCATATATTCACAGCCAGTAGAGAAGATGAAGTAATTAATACATTTCATTATGTGCCTTCCTTTTCAAGAATATGCAACCAGGATAAAGACAGTACTATGGCTTATCACTCCATGGCGTATCTGAAATGTGTGGTATTCAGCAGATGTACCCAGAGTCCTGTCAAAACCTGTTAGTGGGTTTCTATAACTAAAACTGATATCTGGTGCCAATCAGAAGTGCTTTAGCAATGCAGTATTTTTTTAAGTTTTCTATCCAAATGGAAACACAAATATCTAACAGATAACAGATTAAATGTAAGTAACTCTTTGCAAATGCACTCATACTGTTACGGTGCTGGAATAAAATTACAGAAAGAAAAAAAAACCTTAAGCAAAAAACAGAAACAAAAATTAGGTAACATCCAAATCTTCATCCACTTTTGCAACATGAACTTTCATGCATTTTTACAACCTCGCAGTCTGTCTTCTTTCAGAGATAAGAAGTCTGGACAATAATAGCTGCAACTTGAATGGTATAAAATGGGTACTGCATTTCAACATTTTGCTCCAAAACTGTCTAAAGGCTCCCCTCTAACACTGTTAGAATGCTGCTAACAGTTCTTGACACAGATGGTAGAGAGTCTGACTCGTAACTTTAGTATCTATTATAGAAATGGTGAGTAAACCCACCTGTTACATAGAATATACATCTATTCTGATAGAAGATTTCCAGGGGATAGTAATATATACCAAACAGATTTTAAGAGAATTATGATAACTCCTAAATGTTAAATTGTCACAGTTATTATTGTTCAATAAAATAACTGAAACTGAACTTGAAAAAGCCTGAACCCAACAGATGACCTCTTGTTCTGCTTGAGAACATGATCTGTTCAACTAAACTTGATTTGGAGAGGCACAGGAACCAGTCAACAACAGTTCCCGATGGCCTCGTCAGATTTTCTAGAAGACTAGAGGCAGCAATGGCTCCACAACTACCTCCCTGCTCCAGCCCTCCGACACAGTGGGGCCCTGCACACTGGACACATGATGGACATGCCACCAGCACTCCACTCCAGAACTGACTTTCGGGCTACTTCCATCATACTAGCACCAGCCTCCTGTCATGCAACAAACACCCTCATCTTGGTAAAGGTTCATGGCAAACAACAACAGTTTAACTGGTCACAAAACATTTCAGATCCATAAGTTTTGTTTTTGCTAGATTTGCACAGAACATACGAATTACATTAGATTTTGGAGATTGCTTCCTGAATTCACCAAATGACCCAGGTTTATAAATACCCATACTTCTGAGTTTACAAATTGCTGATCTGAGAATATAAGTAATTAACTGTAAAACACAATAAGGAAAAGTAGCATAGGACTGAAAGCAGCATGAGAAATCACCATTTTAAAATTCTTTATTCCAATATAAATCTTCAGAGATTAAGCCTGATTACCATTTGAGAGAGTAGCTAGCAAAGTACCTTTATCTGGTACTCAGAAATTGCATGAAGTACACTTTACAAGTAATTCCCTGTGTACCACAATGTGATTTATGTCTTACACATTTTCAAACTTACACTAAATATGCATACTAAGTCCCATAAATATTCAGTTTTATCCAGTCTGTATGTATTTTTGCTTAGCATGTGATGGTATTCACCGTATCTCTACCATATCCGGCAAAAATTTCACTATTCTCTTATCTTTTTCATCTCACATAATAGGCTTCTTACTGTGCGAGATACCTTTTCAGTAATATAGGATTACCATACAGAAGAAAACACTATATTCATATATTACTGCTACTATTTACAGGTACAATTACCACAAACACTTTCGCAGTGCTATCAACCAAAATATTTCACAAAACTGTTCTGGGAGAATAAACGTCTCCAAGGAATTCTGAAAATGAGTGAAAAACCACTGGGAAATAATCACAAGAGGGGTACTTGAATCTGTGGCTCACTCCTAAGCAAAGCATTTGCTTGATTTCAGATTGGCCTTTACATTTCACCAGCACAGGGAGCAGTTATACAACAAAAGCTAAACAAAGCCACAGAACCAGCCACCCAGCCAACATAAAATATAATACAGAACCAGGTGGTTTTATCCTCGAGTAATCTGCAGTTTAAAGGATAGTTATGTGATTATGCAAAACACACTGGAGTTACTGATGCTGAATGTCAGCAAAAGTGGTAGTGTTAGGGCTTCAGTAATAACAAGATTGAATGCTAAGGACTACGAGATTGTATCAGTTTGGTATTTTGATTTTAGCCGACAATAAACTGATGAGTTAGTAAGAAATAATTGTATTATATTATGATTTATTTTTCATTTAGAAATGAACCAGATATTTTCTTTTAGGTTAATGTTTCCAAATGACATTCTGTTGGCCGTGTTACATGACATTTTTCTTTCAGGTGAGAAAAACTAGATGCAACTTCCTGTATTGCCCTTCCGTGACCTGTTAAGAGAAAGTAATACAATGCGTTCCTTGCCTACCAGTTCAGAACTTCCTACTATTCATGTCACCAAGAGCAAGCTGAAAAGCTTCATGAGACAGTGCAAGTAGCTGCTATTGAGACACAGAGACAGCCCTTTGTTTCAAACTATTTTTAGCATTATTTATTTATTTATGATACTCCCCCCCACCAGTGACTTTGGTTATAAATTTAAAATTTACAATCCCAGAGTTCCAGATGTACATACGCCATTATAAAATGCTGACAAAAAGCAAGGAAGAGGTATGTCTATGACACAAAATTTTCAAGAACAAGGAGGAAAAAAATAAGAGCCTGAGCGTAATGAAATCTTTCAGAGCTCATGAGAAGGAAGAACTGACCTTAGCCTCATAGAAAACAGCTGTACAGCTTACTGCTTCTCTGAATCTAACTCAGTAGAGCTACTAGTTGCCGTTAACTGAAGGTACATAGGTCAGCACTGCACCACACTGAAATACAAACACTTTTTAAATGTTTCTAAATGACTCAGAGGCTTACTATCTCCAGGTGAAAAATAAAAAACATTTTTAAGACATGTTTTTTCTAAATCTTAAAGAATTATTTTATACATTAAAAAAAAAAAAAAGCTAATTATTACTTTGCCATTCTCAAATAAAACTAATTGAATCCACAGACGTCTTTCAGTGGTCTACTACACTTTCAGAACATATGGTAATAATACGGTGTTTTTTACAGCTCTGAAACATGAGTGCTGAAGCTTTGGTGGCTTCGTTATTGCCACAAGCAGTCCTGGATCGGGTGAACAGTCTGTTCAAATGAATGCCTACACAAGCAGCAGTAAAGAACTACTTAGTATTAATTAATCAATGTTTGTATAAAGCTTAATAATGTGAGGCACTATGAATTCTAACAGGCATTTTATGTTCCACTTTATAGATACAATCCACAGAAAACTGAGTCTTAAACAAGAAAAATTCAGCTCTAAGTTAATTTGCTGCATAACTTGCTGTATATACAACTGTGTAAAACATCATTCAGATTTGCTTTCTTTGTTATTACCTGATTGCTGCCCCTTGACACAGCAGTCTCAGTGTCCTTGAATCAGTCAGTTTGATATATGATTATCCTCATGGTACACCCAGATTGCTCCAGCAAAAATTGTCAGTGGTCTCAAAAGCCACACAAGCAGAGTGAACAGCACGTCTAAGGCACGGCTGTGATTTGAGGCTACAGAGCAGTCACGACTCTGCTTTGCATTAACTCTTCAAAGTTTCCAGAAAGATCATGAAAGTTTGATTATTTAATAAAAAAGAACAAAACATATAAGTAACAAATACTCATCAGCCACATTATAAAGTGAAAGGTCTTTGAAAAGATATTCAAATTGTTTGTAAAATATTTTTCAAACCAAATCTGACGCATATGAAACATGATTTAACTCCACATTCAGAGAATCAAGAACCATACAAAATTTCCAGGGAAAACTTGCATCCTCTTCAGTTAAATATTTTCATTGACTAGCAGATGCTCAGTGAAATGAACACTGACTTTTTTTATCTCACCTTCAAACACTGCTTTATTTCTTTTGCTTTCATGGATCATCAGTTCATGTAACAGAGAAATCAATGTCCTATATGGAACAAAACAATCTTAGAAACAACAGTAATTTGAAACTTTATTACAACATACTGTAACAAGCACTAAACTTGGTATTATCCATGTCAGACTTTGATTCTCATAGGACATGCCATCTTTCTCTTGCTGTGTAACTATATTATTCTTTTAGTAAGAGAGAGCAAACATTGAACACACCTCAAAACATCTGCAACTTGCAGATAATGACTGGCATGCATTGGAAAGGACAGGAGAATGAAGGAAGGAAGGATTTCTTCAGGGGACCCAAATTATTTTCATTATTGCTCAGGTGTTTGTGCTTGAAACCTTTCTGAAAACTCATCATTTTTTTTTTTCACAACCTGAAAGTGACAATATCCCCTTCTGTCCAGCTATCCATTTTCATTTTGCCCATCTGTCTCTTACTCATACAGACACCTAGAGGAAAACATGCTGCCTCTAGGAAAAAGGTGTACAAATTAAATATGAAACTCCTTCTATTTTAACAAGAAATAGGGCATTCAACATCCTCCATGATACAAATTCTGTTTAAATTTTGCAAATATATTGTGGAGTCCTTCCATGAGTTTGGCCCAGCAACAATTTTTTTATTTTAAAATCTCCAAATTTAGAATTTACTCTCATGTGTGATCATATTAATACAAATGCATTAAAATGACTATTGAAGTGTCACTTTTTTTACATTGTCAAGTTTTGTACCAGCGAACAGGTAATTTCTACAGTGGTGGTATCCTGTATAAAACTTTCCTCTTCTGAATATGCTTAACTGT